GAGTTTAACTTTCTTACATTCCTCATATACATGAGATCATGCAGTATCTTTCTTTCTGTAGTTTATAATTATTTTCATGCATCTGTCTTTTAAGATGTATCAAAAATAAAAACTGGAGTTAAAAACCTAAACTACAATATTGGTTTTTTTTTTAATGTATGTACCAGAGATTTTTATTTCTTCACACAGTTTTGAATTACTATCTGGTTTCCTTTCAATCTGAAGGAACTTTAGTATCTTTCATAAGGGAGATCTAGTGGTAATGAACATCCTTAGCTTTTATCTGAGAATGTCTTAATTTTTCCCAACTTTTGAAGGACAGTTGTGCTAGATATAGAATATGACAGTTTTTTCCCCCTCATGTCACTTTAAATCATACTGCTGCCTTCTGGCTTGAAGGATTTCTGCTGAGAAATGACCCGATGATATTTTTGAGGATCGCTTGTGGGTGATGAGTTTTTCTCTTGCTGCTTTCAAGATTTTCTCTTTGACTTTTGCATTTGGCATTTGATTATAATGTGTCTTGGTGTGGGCCTCTGTAGGTTTATCTTGCTTGGGGTTCATTAATCTGTAGGTTTATCTTGCTTGGGGTTCATGTATCTGTAGATTCATGTGTTTCCTCAAATTTGGCCTATTAAGATTTGAACAAACTAACCATTAGTTTCTAATAGCTCAAAGCCACATCCCTAGAATGACACTAGCCCCCTCAGAGTGACTGCTTGGAAAACTCAAGGTTGCCAAGTGAGTATGTTCTAGCCAGCTCCTGAAGATAAGGCCTGTCTCTCAGCTTCTCTGGGAAAGCAGGAGCCTAACTAAAAGTGCCAGTTAGCAAGCCCAGATAGATTTGACATGGGCCAGCCCACTCCCCCACTTCCTGTGTTTTGTAATTTTCACTCTCTTGACTCTACAGAGCCCCTGTTCACCAACATCCCTATTTTTCCACCCTCCCTTTAAAACACGAATTGAAACTGAGTTCAGTTAACACCAAATTATTTTTCCTATTGCAATAGTTATTACCAATTAAAGCCTATTCTCAACATTGCAATTAATGTCTAGCTCTGTTCATTTCTGACATACATATAAAGTGAACTTTGCAAGGGGTGGAGAAGCTTCCCTTGGTGGGTAAGCTTGGTAATGAGTGAGACATGGGAGACATTCCAGAAGCAGAAGGAATTGCATGCCCAACACAAACATTTTTTTGTCCAAGAAGGCAAGACTGTGTGGTTGCCAAGAAAAACCCTAATCCTCTGAGACCTGTCTCAGAAGAGCTATACTGTGTGGTCTTTTAGTGGATGTTCAAATCTAGCCTATGTTCCTAAGATGTGTGACTCTGGGAGACTAGAGCCGCTTGAGTCTGAGGTCACTGGCGGTAACATGAAGATGATTATGGCATTTATCTAACTGTGGGAAGATTATGAAAAACACACTGAGTAACTTACATATGCAGGCCCAGTGTTGTTTGCCTTATAAATGCTTAATTCTCATAACTACCTGGTAATATGGGAATTCTTTTTGTTTCAATGAAGAAATCGAGAATTGAGGTAACTACCCCCAGTGTCAATCTCAATAGGCTGAATTCAAACCCAGGAATTTAAGTCCAAAGCTGGGAGCACATAATTGTTTGAATGCAGTACACAGTGCAGGTACAGTAAGGTCACATGAGGCTCAGCTGCTGCTGCTATTAACAATATTTTTTATCATCATAATTTTTCTCTATTCATCTTTAATACCAGAGCACTTGCACTCTGCACTTCTCAGGCCATACAGCTTTGTCATTGTCTTGTATCATGTATTAATGATTTCTTCATAGAAGGCTTTTGTTCTCTAACACAATTGCAATTTACTAAAAGACAGTCTGTCTCCCCCTCAGAACTCAGCAGAGAGCTAGGTTCCCACAAAGCACTCAGTGATATGTGCTTTGGTTCTTTCCAGATGTTTACCAACAACTAAGCCAGAGACTCATATCACACCCAACTGGTCTAAGGATAACTAAAAAATTCTGACTTTCCAGGCATCAGTAACCTTCAATGACACAGCTATAACCTTCATTCAGGAAGAGAGCAGCTGCACTCAGCACAAGGGACCATGCAAATAAAATCTGGGGACTATAGGACTACTTCATCTTTGCAGTACCAGGTGCCTGGGAGAGCAGAAGGACAGAGAATAGGAGGAAAAAACAAACCTACTGTCATTATCCCATAACCATGTGGCACCATCAGATGATGCTGAAGACCTGTAGGCTTCTGGTCTCAGAGGCTAAAGCCTCACCTTTCCTCCATGTGAGGCACCTGAAGCCTCCCTCACTATGCCTCCTTCCTTCCCACAGCCCTGCTCTATTCTTGCCTTATCTTCTCCTACCTGGACTCTGTGTCTCCTCAGATTATTTGGGGTGAGAAATATACTCCCCCTCAAAATGACTCAAATACCAAAAGAGAACTTATTGAAAGGATATAGGAATGTTTTCTAAGACTTCTTCTCCCAAAAAGTGAAACAGTAAACAGATAAGAGTCTTCATCAGGAGGACCCATTAGATGTGAAGTTTTTGGGGGGTTTTTTTTGGGTTTTTTTTTTTTGAGTTGGAGTCTCACTCTGTCACCCAGACTGGACTGCAATGGCCGCTCCTGGCCACCACAGCCTCGACCTGCTGGGCTCCAGCGATCCTTCCGCCTCAGCCTTCCAAGTAGCTGGAACTACAGACACACGCTACCACGCCCGGCTAATTTTTTATTTGTTGTAGAGATGAGGTCTTGTCAAGTTGCCCAGGTGGGTCTCGAACCCGCGGGCTCAGGCAGTCCACTCACCTCGGCCTCCCAAAGTGCTGGGATTACAGGCTGAGCCACCGAGCCCGGCCAGATGTGAAATTTGAGACCAAAATGATGAAGCAGACATGTGAAGGTAATGAGAAAAATCAACAGCTAGCTATCATTATTTTAAAATCTTTTTCCTAAATCTGTATTACTGTGAAGACACTTTAAGAATTGTAAAACACTATCATGTGTATGCTCATGCTTTTTAAATAAAAAAAAACATAGGCATTTGGATGAAGCCTCTCATAACAATTTAACAAGGTGGCATAAAACTATGTGTAATGAAAGCAAATAAAATCTGGGACAATAGGGCTACTTCATCTTTGTGGTATAAGTTACTTGGGAAAGCAGAAAGGCAGAGAATATGAGGAAGAAAAAAAAGCTACTGCCATTATCCCATAACCATGTGGCACCATCATCTCATAACTATGGTGGCCAGTCTATCCATAATTACAACTGTTTGATACTATGCTATGTCTTCTTAATTATAAATCTTAAGAACCTTCAACATGCCATAGAATCTCAAAATCTGATGATCAAAAATAAATCAAATGATAAATCCCCTTTGAATATTAAAATTTCACCATCCCATTCCAAAGCCACTACTATCTCTATTGAGGATTGCTATTGGAATATGTCTCTATGCTTTTAGTTAGGGTAGCACATGTATCAAAGGGGAATATCTTGTCTAAAGGCAGAAACGTTATCACTCATTCCACACCAGAATCTGTAATATAATGTTCCTTTTGAAAATAATAATATATTTTACTTACAACTTTCAGCACCATAAATAACAAAATCTGAACCATAAGCTATACCACTGCCCTTTACTTTCAAGTGTCCATATACTCCTAATCACATTGATCTGTGTTACCCTTTTAAACACAAGACCGGAAGCCACAGGGGCCAGAAGGACTTTTTTCTGAGCCTCATTCTGTCACCAAGGCTGGAATACAGTGGCACAATCAGGGCTCACCATAGCTTTGACTTCCTGGGCTCAGGTGATACTTCTGCTTCAAATTCCCAAGTACCTGGGACTACAGGCATGCACCACCCATACCTACATAATTTTGTTTTTGTAGAGATGAGGTCTTGCTATTTTGCCTAGGTTGGTCTCAAACTCCTGGGCTCAAACAACCCTCCCACCTTGGCCTCCAAAGTACTGGCATCACAGGTTTGAACCACGATGCCCAGCCAGGACTATTCTATTTGTTATCTGGAACTCAGAATATTTGAGGCTGTCCTCCTTACAAACCATAATTACCTGTCAAGGTTCAGTCAACAAAAATGCTTTTTAAGTATTTCAAGAGTACATATATTGTAGTAAATTAATGCTTTCAAAATCAGTAGAAGGGCTGAAAAACTAATAGGAACACTTCTGGAGTATTAATTTCATAGTAAACCTCCATAATTATAACCCAGGAATAGAGAAATGGCTGCTGCTGTTACCAATGCTGCCAGCAGTACCTCAGAGACACAGAACTTGAAACTAAACAATGAACATGGAGAACTTGGTTGTTGGCTTTATCTAGACTACCCAGCACATCACACACAAACACACACACACACATACACACAGTTACATAATTAGTACTCATCATTTTCAGCTTTAAAAACCAAATCCACAGCTAAGTCCACTCTACTCTCTTCTTGGCTATGTCCTCACATAAGTTATTTCAAACGTATTTGCTGTCTCTCTTGTCAGATATAATCTCTGTAAGAAAAGGATCACATTTGTTTTGTTAATTATTACAATGGTTATTAAAGTATGCTTTCTGGACACAGTGTTAGTGTCACCTAAGAACTTGTGAAAAATGTAAATTCTTGTCTTCAACTCAAACCAACTGAAACAAAAACTCTAGGACTGAGGCTTAGAAATCAATGCTTTAACAAGCCCTCCTAGTGATGCTGACATACTACTAAAGCTGAGAAGTACTAGATTAAATACCCCATCATTATGTAATACATGAGTGATACTCAAAAAATTTTCCTGAAATGTGTTTATTTAAGCCCATTGCAAATGGACTTTGAAATACCCTCACCAAAATAATGATATTCCTAGTACAGACTAAGCCATTTTCTCTAGGTTCTCTAGTCTCCCACCAAATGATATAGTAAGACTGATCTTAGTACTTCAAGAATTAGTGAAAATTTTGCAAAAAAATAGTCACAGTGAAAGAGTTCGTCATATACAAAATGATTTATTAGATACCCCAAATTTTATTAGCACCATTTTCACTTTTGCAGCTTTAATTTTCTACATTATAACATTTACTATTCCTCTGGGTGACTAAGTATCTTCACATGCCCATTAGATAAAAATAGTTCCTACTCAGGACAAATAAAACTGTAAGCTACTCCTTTAAGAAATGCCTATTTATAATATGCTTATTTGCTCTCCTGTAGAATTTGGTTTACAAATAGCATCACTGCAAAGAAGGTTTACACACAATCCCTACATCCTTCAGGTTGATCTATCATTAATCTCCTGATGTCTAGCAAGATAAGAACTCTTAGTGAACACTCTGCTACATTTCTTACATCAGTTATCTTCAATTTATTTGCTGTAGTGTAAGGGATGCAATTGGAACTGAAAGACTTCCCTCAACTTCTGAATGTTCTATATTCATACAGCTTCTCTCCTATAGGAGTTTGTAAGCAATTCATAATGCTTACAGTCTTTCCTGTATTTGCTACATAGATCAGGTTTTCTATTGTGAATATGCTTGTGACAATTAAGGGATTAATACTGACAAAGCCTTTTCCACAGTTATTGTCTTCATATGGTTTCTCTACAGTATGAACTCTGATAGGCAAAAAGTTTTGCATCATTGATACAGGTCTTCCCATATTCACCATATTCATAGGAATTTTCTCCAGTATAAATTTTTCTGATGTTCAATCATGGAGGATCTGTGGCTGATGTTTATTATGAGTACTGCCACCTCATATTGTCTCTCTCCTGTATGATTTCTCACATGTATAGTAATTAATGTTGTCTAAAGGCTTTCCCACACTCACTGCACTATTATGTATTCTTTGATGAGCAGTAAGATTTGAGCCTTTGCTAAAAGCTTTCCCACATTCATTACATTTATATGGCTTTTCTCCAGTATGAATTCTCTGATGTACAGTAAGGTTTGAGCTACAGCTGAAGGTCTTCCCACATTTAATACATTCATAAGGTTTTTCCCCAGTATGAATTCTGTGATGTTGAAGCAGAGATGACCTATGACTAAAAGCTTTCCCACAAATACTGCATTCGTAAGGTTTTAATCTAATGTGATTTCGCAAATGCATATTCAATGATTCGAGCTGGTTGAAGGATTTCCTGCATTTCTGACATTCAAAGGGTTTTTCTTCAGTATGAATACTCTGATGTTGAATAAGAAATGAGAGGCTACTAAAGACTTTCAGACATTTGTTACATTCATATTGTTTCTCTATAGTGTGAATTCTCTGATGTCGAGTGAGGTGTGAACTACAGCAAAAAGCTTTCCCACATTCACTACACTCATAAGGTTTCTCTCCAGTATGAATTTTCTGGTGATGAATAAGAGATGATCTATGAATAAAGGCCTTCCCACATATACGACACTCATAGAGTTTTTCTTGAGTATGAATTCTCAAATGTTCAATGAGATGTGAAACACGACTAAAAGACTTTCCACAATTCATACATTCATATGGTTTCTCTCCAGTGTGAGTGCTTTGATGATTAGTAAGTGAGGAGACATGGCTAAAGGCCTTCCCGCATTCCATACATTTGTAAGGTTTCTCTCCACTATGGCTTATCTGATGTCGAGTAAGGGATGATCCATGGCTAAAAGTCTTTCCACATTCAAGACATTCATAGGGTTTCTCTCCTGTATGAATTCTCCAGTGACGATTAAGGATAGACTGTTTGCCAAAAGCTTTCCCACATTCACTGCATGTATAGATTTTCTCTCTATTACAAGACTGGTGAAGGGTAAGAGATTTGCTCTGGCTGAAAGCTGCCCCATTTTCATTAGAATTTAAAAGTTGCTTTCCATCACTAATTTTCTCATTTTTTATAACTGACTTTTTCAGTAAGCTCTTCTTCAATATATCATGTGATTTCCCTTCAGCAGAAATTCTTTGTGGTTCAGAAAGAGCAGACTTTAAATGGAAGGTGCTTCTAAATGTGTGGTATTTGTAATCACTTTCCCCAGTGGGGCTTTCTCTAAAGCTGATGGTCACTGGTCTGAAATGTTCTATCTGACTTCCATGCTTTCCCTCCAACTTCTCTATATATTCCAAATTCTTATCAAAATTTGAAAATTCACAGCTTTGTTTTACAGTTTTTTCTAGTATTACTGTTTGGGGTGATTCTTCTTCATAAATATCCTTCTTTACTGATAGTTTCTTGTTTTCCCATCTTGATTCCCAGTCTGAAATATATCAAGAAAACAAAGCAGTGTTTGTTTTTTTACTTGTTGAAAAGAAATTTCTATGGTGGAAATAGAATAATTGGATAAGAAATAAAGCCCCCAGAAAGCACATGGCTCTGACAATACATATAGTTCAATGATTTCTGAGCAATGCTCAAGTGGAACACAGACTCAGAGGCAGGAACAGAGTATGACAAGAGAAATGGGTAAAACAGCATGTGAAAAAATAAAATTATCAAAAAGAATACGTGGAAGGTATTCTGGATTCCAGCCATCATTTTGTGTCTATACTCATTGTGTGAAACATCACATTTTGTCTTACAGCCTTCACCTCCATCCTTTAATTAATTTCAATTTGCTGCCAGATTAATATGTTTAAAATGCAGAATTGATATTACTACATTAAACAGTTACAATAACAAAAAAAAATGCTCTGTATGGCTGACAAAAATTTAGGCTGAGTTTATGAAGTATCTGTGTGCATCATATGCTCATTTACTGGACATTAGAAAATATTATTCCTAGTAACATATTCTTATGTTTCTTATATGTTTCTTACTTCCTCTAACACTTATGTTCATATCTGTTCTACAAAGTTCTACTTTAGAAAAAAAAAAAGGTAATTTTCCATCTAACTGACAGCTTTTCTTGGCCTAAAACTATTGGTGTGTTTTTCCTTAAGTAGACTCAGGAAAGAATAATTTGCCTTATTTTGTCTTGAATACAAAGTAACAGTTTGAATTATTTGACAGCAAACCCTCTAACTTTGATTAGATGACATGAGAAGTACAGACAGATAATATCAGCATGGACGAATGATCTTTGTAAAATCTAAGCTAAATATGCCTCAATTTTGCTTACATCTGGGATCTCTGAAGACAGTAGCCCTAAAATGCCTACACACACACTATAAACATTTTTAACAAAGACCTCCTTTGTCCCATTCACCATGATTCACCTGGAAACATACCTTTTGATAGTTTTTTCTCCACCATCCAGGGCTCTTTTCCATCCTCCAATAAAGTGATCACATATGGTTTAGTTACGGAAAGACCTGCTTACAGGAAGAATACAGAACTTATTTAAGTTGTGGTCCTCAAGGATGAGATGCTATCAGAAGAGAAACCAAAGGAAAGGTTGAAGGATGTTTATTGAAATGGAAAGATAAGCTTCAGGCAGGGTTCAAAAGAGCTGTACATTTTCTAGGGAATCTGGTAAGCAGGAATTCAGCCATTTTACTTAGGAGGATCTCCAGCAACTCAAAGTGACAAAAGAAAGGTGCCCCCTATTGTAATGAAAGGAGAGCCAGCCTTACCTAGAGAAACGAGGTTCTTGTAATTCTGGACCATCACATCCTTGTATAAATTCCTCTGAGCAGAATCTAGCCATGTCCACTCTTCATGAGAGAAGTCTATAGCCACATCACTAAATGTCACCTGAAACAACAAATATATTCAGGCTCAGTCACAGCCCTTACCTCTTTTATTACTGTACAGGAGGTAAATTTACCCTGGTTGTGGAAAAAATGGAATACGAGTCAGGAGTTGTAACAACGATCATGAATCTGATCTCAGTTAAGTAATAACTAGATACTTATGTGCTTGGCATTATTATACAATAAAGGTAAGAGACAAATGTAAGAGCTTTGCTTCAGGAGAATTAATTCTGTCAAAGGAAATAGAATTACATACATTTTTTAAAAAACAGCATTCAACATTTGACCACAGTCAAGTATTTAGTTGTATCTTTTACACTTTAAGTGCTAATAAAATGGTAGCCTCTCAAATGGAACTCAAGATGATCCACTAAGGTTCAAGAAAAATGGGTTCAGAGAAAAAGACATCTTTAAAGACTGATAGACCTACTTTGCTATGGTTTGACTGTCCCCCAAAAACCTTGTGTTGGAAACTTAATCACCATTGTACCCACTGTATTAAGAAGTGGAACTTTTAAGAGGTCATTAGGCCATGAGCACTCTTCCCTCATTAATGGATTAATGTCATCATGAGAGTGGACTACTTATAAAAGGACAAGTTCAGTACCCTTTTGTCTCTTTCTTCTCTCCTCTTTGCCCTTCTGCTATAGCAGAAGTCTGAATAGCAAAGCAAGAAGGGCTTCACCAGATGCCTGCCCTTTGATCTTGAACTTCCCAGGCTCCAGAACCACAAGAAATACATTTCTATTGTTTATAAATTACTCAGTCCGTGGTATTCTATAACAGTAGCCCAAATGGGCCAAAACATACACATAACTGATTCATGAACAAAAAAGGAAAATATATTCATGGTATGTCCTTAAATCTTGTATGGACAGTCACTCAATAAAATAAAAATAATTTTGAGACCCCTCAGTGAAAAAACTGAAGGATAGTTTTATGCCACAGATAGTCCTTAAATAGGACCTTAAAGAGAAAGAATAAAGGGGTACATTTCAAGGGAAATAGTCTAAGGAAATGCTCATAGATGTGCTTAGAAATCTCTTCAAAAGTACTCATTCACAGTATTATTTAAAATAGCAAAACTTTAGAAAAAGTTTAAATGTTCAATAATAGCTTGTTGATTAGGCAAATTATAAAATGAGCAAAAAATATATGCATTTAAAATGGCATTATTACTACCTTTCATTTGTGAAATAAACATTGCTTGGCTGTAGTACATTTTACTCTCCAAGAGTGGTTGATTCAATATTGTATTACTTTATTTGGATATATCACATGTATGCTCACCAGTGATACTAGTTTTTGGTTTTAAAAGCAGAATTTGCTTTTGTCAAGTGTTGGGGAAATAACCAAAAATCTAATCGCCTGCCAGTGTAGAAAATCCTCTCCACAAATGCAGAAAACAGTTGTATTATTGAATAATATTTATTAATTAATTTAGATTTTTTGAATAAGCATTAAATCAGAATAAGCATTAAGTCACACTGCACAGACAATCCACTACAAGATTACAAAGACAGAAATAAATCTCATCTTTCTATAAAGTCAGGCAGATACAATCCATTACAATGTAGCTTTCAAAATAAATGATAATGTGTCCTCAAGTAAATGACAGTATAATTTGCTACACAAAATTCATCCTAAATTTACATGTTAATTGGAGTGGCCACTGTGTTAGTTAATTGACTTTATTTCAAATATAAATAACATCTCCCACATCTTTATGAGAAGCAGGTCATTACAACTTGGAGCCAGAAGCCTAGGCTAAAATCACACACACCTAGACACACAGCGAGAGAGGGGAACTATCTTCTTTGCTGTCTTCACTTCAAAAAGATGACTCCAAGGCCCTGAAGAATTTACTATTAAAGCTGGCAAGAGGCCAGGCATGGTGGCTCAGCCTGTAATCCCAGCACTTTATGAGGTCAAGTCAAGAGGATTGCCTGAGCCCGGGGGTTCAAGACCAGCCTGGGCAACGTGGTGAGACCTCGTCTCTACAATAAATCACAAAAACTAGCCAAGTATGGTGGCATGTGTCTGTAGATCCAGCTACTTGGAAAGCTAAGGTGTAAGTATCTCCTGAGAAGCTGCGATGGCCATGAGCATGCCACTGCACTACAACCTGGGCAACAAAGAGTGACACTCCAATTCAAAAAAAAAAAAAAACTGACAAGAGTCTTACTTAGCTTTTAAAAAAGGTCTACATGAACCTCAAAGGGACATGGATCAAGGAAATAGTCTAAGAAAAAGGTTGAGGAAGGGGGCATCTCTCCCTTTAGCATTAGGGAAAATTCTTTTTTAAAACTTTTATTTACACTTATCCAGGTATTAGGGTTATGCTAGCCTTATAATATGAACTGAAAATCTACCTTTTCTTACTTTCCAAAATAGATTTTAAATGATTAGCTTTTACAAATCTCACCTAACAACCCAAATACAAAATTCAACACCATAAATGTATAAAACAGTTTTATTCCACAAATGCAAAGTTATTTACTTTGGTTTGAACACATATTAATGAATATCACTGTATTAACAGCTTAAAGAAGAACACCCACATAACCTTATCAATAGATACTCTAAAGTTCTTTATTTGCAGCAGGGTTTGTTAACTTTGAGCTACTGACATTTGGGTTGGATAATTCTTTGTTGTAATGAGCTGTCCTGTGCATTGCAAAATGTTTAGCAGCATCCCTGGCCCCTCTCCCCACTAGATGCCTGTAGCAACACCATCCCACCTCCACCCTAACTGTAACCAAAAACCCCCAAAATGTCTCTAGACATTACCAAATGTCCCCTCTGGGGTGGGGGGTGGGATGCAAGATTGCCTCCATTTGAGAACCACAACTTTAGAAAATTTGTGCAGGTCTCTACTTATGTTAAAGGTATTTTTCTCAGTTCAGTATATCTTCATTTCTACCTCTTCCTCTGGTGCTATGGGCCACCAAAACCCAGCCCCAGCCTTACCTCCCCAGAGATGCTTCTTTCTTACCCTTCAATTGCCTGGGCAGCCTGGAGTGTTCACTTATCTTTGTCCCAGAAAGAAGAGAGGATATCTGTCCTAGCACTTATTTTAACATCTTATGCTTTCTTACTTTTCTACAAGTTCCACAATGCTCAATATAGTAGCTACTAGCTAATTTATCTATGTAAATTTGTATCATTTAAAATATAAAAATAAGACAAGAAATTCAGTTCCTCAGTTGCTCTAGTCACAGTTCAAGTATTCAATAGTCCTATGGAGCTGGTGGCTACCATACTGACCAGCACATATACAAGTGGAAACCCAAAATAGCCCAGAATTTACTTATTAAAAATTGCGTATTTATTCTTACATCTTTACACTTCGGTCACCTTCAAAGTACTCTCTGTTTGATGCAAAATACCTATTGAGATACTTTTTCCATTATTCTCAAACAGTTTTTGAACTCGTCAACTTTGATGCCTTTTAGTGCTTCTGCCGTTTTTTGCTTTACCTCTTACACATTGGCAAAACGTTTCCCTTTGAGGACTGTTTTCATAAGGGAAATTTTTTTTTTTAAGTTGCTTGAGGTGAGACTTGGTGAACAGGGAGGGTGGGGCATGGGGTTCATGCTGTCTTTGGTCAAAAACTGCTGAATACTCAGTGCAGTGAGAGCAGATGTGCTTGTAAATCACCCATCATGATATGGGCAAATGCACTGAAAGAACATCCAAAATAAATTCACTGAAGCTGATTGAAGCCTCTCAAAACAATACTAGCTGGTATGCTGATGCTGATGGGTTTGCAGAACACTTACGTAGTAGGGGAAGCCTGTTCTACAAGGGGCCTGCCCTCCAAAAAATAATTCAGACTTTTGGGGGTTCCCCCTCATATAGAACATTTCTACTAATGTATAAAATTCAGACTGGGTGTGGTGGTTCACACCTGTGATCCTAGCCAGCACTCTGGAAAGTTAAGGCAGAAGGGGTGCTTGATGTCAGGAGTTCAAGACCAGCCTGGGCAACAAGGTAAGACCTCATCTCTACAAAAAATTTAAAAATTAGCCAGGCACAGTGCCAGCTATTCAGGAGGCTGAGAAGGGAGGACTGCTTGAGCCCAGAAGTCAAGACTATAGTGAGCCAAGATCATGCCACTACACTCCAGCTGGGGTGACAGAGCAAGACCCTGTCTCAAAATAAAATTAAAATAAATAAAATTAAATAAAGAATGCTCTCTTACACAATACTGCACTACATCATGAAGCCCTGTGTGTCAGTGTACACTCAAGTTCATGTACAATTTTTCCTAACAGGACTTCATTAGTGTTTAGAAGATGAATCAATGAATTATTTAGGTATTACTTCACTTTAGCTTTTACTATTTTAAAAAATATTTTTTTAATTCCAATTATCTAATTTTCCCAAGAAAACATCTGCAACTCACATCCTCTCCTGTGGAAGCTTCACCTTCCACCCAATGATTCTGCCCTGTCATTTTCTTATTACTTATTTTATTCATTCAACACTTATTTACTAATCATCTGTTTTGTGCCAGGTACCACTCAGGGTACTGAAGCTATACCAGTCACAAAAAAGAAAAAATATTCCTCCCACCAGGAGACGATGAGTACATACATATGCTAAACATATAGTATATCAGCCAGTGAGTGATATGTGCCACAGAAAACAAAGAAGTGATGGAGGAGTGGAAATGATAACCAAGGGAAGGTGACTGCAATTTTCAAATAGGTGCTCAGGGAAGTTTTACTGAAAAAAGATACAAAGATACCACTGAGCAAAGATACAAAGGAGATAAGAATACAAGCTTATGCATAACTAGGGGAAGAACATTGCAAGCAGATGGTACAGCAACTTCCAAGGCCTGGAAGTAGGGGTTGGGGTTCACAGAGATGAGGAAGCAGAGAAGGAAGGTGGGATTACAGTAGTAATAGCATAATTGTACAAAGTTTTTTTTTTTTTTTTTGAGTTGGAGTCTCACTCTGTCATCCAGACTGGAGTGCAGTGGCCGCTTCCAGCCACCGCAGCCGCTACCTGCTGGGCTCCAGTGATCCTTCTGCCTCAGCCTTCCATGTAGCCAGAATTACAGGCATGCGCTACCACGCCCGGTAGCGGATTTTTTTATTTATTGTAGAGATGAGGTCTCGCTGCCCAGGCGGGTCTCGAACCCGCGGGCTCAGGCAATCCACTCACCTCAGCCTCCCAAAGGCGTGGGATTACAGGCTGAGCCACCGAGATCGGCTTGTACAAAGTTTTATAGGTCGTTGTAGAACTCTGACTTCTATTCTGGGTTAGGGCCACTGAAAAATTACAGGTTAAGGAATGACAGAAATTTACATAACAATAAGATCACTTCAACAGCTGTACTAGGAATAAACTGAAAAGCAGTTAAGAGCAGATGCAGGACATGGAGCTAGGAGGCTATTGCAATAATCTAGGTATCTTGAACTGGGGTAGCAGTGGTGGTGGTAGTGACGGAGTAGCCAAAGATCAGATTCTGTATATATTTAGATCCAACTAGACTATCTGAATGTGAATTATAAGTGAAAGGGAAAAATTAAGGACAACTCCAAACATCTCTTGACTTCAGCAACTGGAAGGATTGATACATCTTTGACACTCAAAAAGCAAATAACCTAGAATTCCAAATTTGCATTGTGAAATGTCATTTTAATTTTTGGCTCAAGACTCTAGAAGGTCTTCGAGAAGAAAACTGTAGGGAACAAAAGAAACATTGAGTAAGGAGGATAGCATACCGGGCTCCTGTGGGCTCCATCCTTTCCTACAACGAAAGGAATCATAGATCCAGTTCCTAACTGGACGGTTAAGTAGGAACTGGCAGGAGAAGCAAAGCAGTCACTCAAAGAGTGCTGATAAGAAAGTGTTTCAGGAAGATGTGGGGACATACCAACTTACCTGAGACATTACTTTGCAGTTTTCAAGTCCACACAGTCCTCTTTCCAGGCTCTTGTCTTAGAGATCAGCAGTGTCCTGAGAAGGCAAAGAAAGCAAGAAAAATCAGGCTTATCTTGCAGCACTTGTGACACATCATAATGGAAAGAATACACAGGGAATCACTCTCTGGAGCGCCCATCTCTCCCTGTGAGATAACCAAGTGTTTCCTGTCACGGAGTAACCATTGACCGTAACCATTGACCATATACTACCTGCAAGGAAAATCACTATTCTGTACATAAAAGGCTCCTAAAACAACGGTAACAACAATTTTAAACGTCAGTTCGTTCAGTCCTCACACTATGCACGGTGCAAATTCCCGCTGTTCCAAATACTCTTTTTTTTTTTGAGTTGGAGTCTCACTGTCGCCCAGGCTGCAGTGCAGTAGCACGCTCACGGCCACCGCAGCCCCGACCTGCCGGACTCAGGAGATCCTTCCGTCTCGGCCTTCCACATACATCTTTTTTAAACGATGACAAAACCGAAATCCGTGGGTACGGAAACCATCTGTTCAAGGTTACACAACTGGAACGCGTCCGCTTCGTAGCCAGGTAACATCAAAACTGTATCAGGCGTTTGCCTGGAGCGCGCACCGCGTCCGCGCAGGCTCTCACCACAGCTCTGCGAGGCGAGCGCCTTCGTCTGCAGCAGCACGGCCCGAGGCCCAGGAAAGCCCAGGCCCCGGCCCGGGTCACGCCGCTGCGCCAGCCAGCTCCGGACTCCCCGTGCTGAGGCCCGCCGGCCGCCCTCCCGAGACCCCCACCTTGGTCGTCCGCGGACCGGCCCGAGGCCGGAGGCGTCCAGGGCGGGCACCGCCGCGTCGCGGGCGCGCTGGGTCGCTGGGAGCGGCAGTGGCCGCCGCCCTCCGGAGAACCACACGGCCCAGAGTGCCTCCAGGGTCCGGGAG